TGGTAATCTCCATTGGACCTACATGATCTATGTGGAATGTCACTAACGGTCTATCGCCCTTATCTATCGGTGTCAAATACCCTTCTTGCTTTCCAGCTTTCGCATTTACCAAGATACATTCTACGCAACTTTCCACAACTCGACATACTTTCTCTTTCAACTTTGGTATGAAATACGACTTTTCCACTAGCTCCTGAGTCTTCTTTGCAGAAAAATGCCCCTGCCTATGAGCAATTTGCATTATTTCTCCCTCCATTTGGGATGGGACTACGATCAGTTCTCTATCGGGGTCTTTGAACAAAATCTGCTTCGCAATGTAATAGTCTTCATACCCTTTATCCTCCACAATACTTCTAATTACTTTTGTCCAGTCATCCCTTTCACTTTACAAGCATCTAGCTGCGATAAGTGTGAAACCTTTATGTCATCCTTATCGTCACTTTCTTCGAAACTCATCATACACAAGCTTTTATACTCTTTTAACAGCTCTGAGCAAGAACCTTGTTCCTCGTTACCCTCATCCTGTATCCCTTCGCTCTTTACTTGGACCTCCGATCGTCTAACGAATTCCGTCCCTTCTTTGGTGACTTTCATGTCAATGTCTTTTAAGATTGTCCTGCCCAAAATCGCTTCAAAAGCTATGTCTTCATCCGACACAACATTGAACTCTACCTTCATTTCGATTCCATCGATCTTCACAGGAATGACTTCACTTCCAATCGTGATGATCTGAAACTCCCCAATTCCAGTCAGACATCTTTGGCGACCTGTCAACTGACCAGTTCCTAACTTAAGGAAAACTCTGCGGCTTAACAAGCACAAATCCGCTCCTGTGTCTACAAGACCTTTGAACGTACCTCTTGTGTGTACCACATTCTTTAACTCTAGCCCGGAAGAAGTAAATATACCTGATGGTTTTGTTACAATTTTCCCTTGCACTAAGTTTGCTCTTTCCTGCTTTACCTGTCCTTCAACCCTGCAAGCAGCGGCCTTATGCCCAAGTTGGTTGCATTTAAAACATCTGAAATCGATCTTTGGACAGTCTTTCTTCATATGTGACGTTTCTCCACACTTATAACATTTCCTAGCTGACTCTGAACCTTTTCCCTCATTTATTTCCTTACCAAAACTCCGTGATTCATATTTGTTTGACGACTTTAATGGACCACGCATCTTCTGATAAACTTCAATCTGATTCTTCAACTGCTGCATGGTTCTGGCTTGATACAGCAACCCCTTATTGGTTCGACTATCCGGAATACCATCCACAAAGTACTCAATCAAACTTTGGTCCTCTAAATCAATCGGTTTTGCGATCTCCATCAGAGCATACAAGTATTCCTGCAACGTTTCGTTTTTCTTTTGTTGTCGCCTAACCAATCTCCGATGAACCTCTGCCGATGATACTTTAATCCCGAACTCTTCGATCAACGCTTCCTTCAATCTACTCCAGTCACGAATATCCCGCTGACTGCGTATGAACAACTTTGCTGCTCCACCTAACAATTGCTTAGCGTAAATGAAAATCTGCAACTGATTCCACCCTACCGTTAGTGCACATTCTTCAAGCTCAATTATCCACTGATTAACATCCAAGCTATTTGAACCTGAAAACTCTGAAACGCTACCTTCAACATCCTTTAGCGTGAACCACGATCTAGCTGAAACTGTAGCTTCCATTTCTCTGCGACCAATTCCTGCCACTCTGTTTCCTATTTCTGCATTTTGAACTTGCCGCGGTTCTATTGACCTGAATGATTGTTCCTGTTCATCCCCATCACTCTCATCTACCTCCACTTGAAGATCATAGTGATTAAGAAGCCTGTTTTGTAAATCTACCTTTCTACCAACAGTCTCCAATCCCAGCTCGTTCAACTTAAGCCTCAAATCCGCAACTAGCAGTGCCAGAATCTCGTCTCTTCTCATCTTGTACAATTTATGTTCTTATAATATAGAATGTAATGGGTAATAATATACGAAAGTGTGTGGTATTATAATGCAGTAAAGAATATAACAATAAAAGTATTACTTCTAATTTCTCTCAAACTTTGGCACTCCAGTTAGCTGCTTTTGCTAGGCCGGTTACAATGGCTCTCAAACAATGCCAATTTTTTTTAATCTCAATTAATTTTAACTTATGAATTTCAAACTTTGCCGTTACAGTTTATTTATTTTTTCCAGTTGCAGTTGCTCTAAAACTCTTCCAATTACAGTTTATTATTTTTCCAATTAAAATTGCTCTACAACTGTTCCAATTACAGTTTATTATTTTTCTGATAATTGCAATGGCTCTCAAACATTACTTGAATCTTATCAACTGCAATCACATACTGTTCAAACTGTACTCAAATCAAATTTTTCTCCTTAAACACGTTCGTTCTTGCTTGACTCACTGTCGCTCGTTTCCGCTTCCTCTTCGATCAATACTTATGTATATGGATCCTCTCGTCTGACCAGGACAATTTCCGTAACTCACCAGAATTCGCAACTGTACTTTGCAACTCGCATCTGCTATCCGACCTTACCGCCTCCCAACGCTTGATCCCATCCAGATCAAACAGCTCTCGTTCTGCTTCACGCCTCTCTTTTCCAGCTATACAGTACGAACACTCCAGCCAGTTGCTTGTTGTCTGTATACCGAAAAGTCCCGCGCCGCTGTCAGTAACGATTTCTGCTCCCTCTGCTTTCGTATCGTCTTCGTTTCCAGCTCCTTTATCACTGCTCTCGTCGTTTCTCGTGGCTTTCGTCGTTTTCTTTCGCCTTCACAGTTTCTCGTCTGTTTTCGTTTCTTTGTTTCCTTGTTTCTTCACCGTTTCTTGTCGCCTTCTGTCGCAGACCTTGAAATCGGTTCTTGTTGAGTCTGCCGTTTCTGCGCGTCGCTTCTGAATTTCACAATTCCACGAAATTGTCGAAAATTCTTTTGACGCTCCGTTTTTTGTCTCTGTCGCTCTCCAACAATTGTCCATTAACACTCTTGACTTGGTTAATGCAATTTTGCGACTTATGACTCGAGCTCCACTACAACACAACACAATTGACCACAATTACGACACTTTTTATTGTTGGTGTTTTTATACACGTTTAATCAAAATTCATTCCCGGACGAGCCCCCAAATGTGTGGCCCAGGGTTTTTGCACTGATGTGGATTAAAGCCCAAGACGACGTTAGTTTTATAATAGTGGTAGTTGTTGTAACTTTATTTAATATTATGGGAATTGGCTTATGATTATGTGTATTTAATATGTCGTGTGTGTAACTTAATGTGTAGTGTGTGTGTGTAGTTCGCGAAACTCTGGCACCGACTGACTCTGACTCTCGCTTGCTTAACCCTAGAAACCTCCTGCTCTAATTGATCTCTCTCCTTTGCTCAAAAAGGGCGTTGCTCAATACTGGCGGCCACTTCGAGTCGCTCTCTGCACTGCCGGCCCTATCCCGATTCCTACATTATGTCTTTTTTTAAGTATCGGCAATTGTTGTTCAGGTGGCACAGCCAAAGATAATAAACGGGCAATTTGGGGTTAACAAATCTGCTGATGTATGTCCTTATCACATCCATCCGATGAACACGTGAGCCGCATATGTAATCAGGTAAGAGAAAAGCAATCAATTTACCTTGTTGACTTTTGGAAATTGATAGCCGTGCCCGAGATTTTTCTCCGTAATTTAAAATTATTCCAACACATCTCCAGGGGAGTATATTCGGCAACCAAATTTGTACGTATGTAAATGAAATTAAATTATATAGTATCGCCTACGTGTGCAAAAATAAAATTCCCTTCTTGTTTTCCTGTGCGTCACACATAACGTATGTGTATTTTAGATGCAATTACGAGGAAAAACAGACGCACGTGGCCCACTCACAGGCGCCTGAAATAGAAAAGGAAATTCTTTCGTCGTTAGAAAATTTCTTAAAATTTAATACATTCCACCAATTTTATTCTATACAGCTTAATAATCTTCACATATATAAATAAATAAATATATTTACATTCCCTCTTAATCGCTTTCTTAAGCTTTTACGCGTTTTGTTTGCATTTCACTCTCATTTAAGCACCACTCCAACTCGATTTTCCACCAAAATAGAGCGGAAAGTGCAATTAACGAGGGACTTGAGGAAATTACAGGTGGAAAGATAAGAAAAAGAAATGCAGTAAATGGAAATGTAATTAGCGAATTGAAAAGCAAAGATAGAAGGAGACAAGACTTCAACATTCAGCATGGTTTTTCGTCGACTCTAAAAATGAGTAAAGGAACTCCATTAAACTGGGTTTAATAAAAAGAGGAGGTCCATTGTCCACCTACACCATAGATTGTCAACATTAATAAATCAGGGGGGGAAATTGCAGTCGATAGCAGTTTTTATGAATCCATAGCCAACGTGGCGACCAGGCCAGGAGTCAACTGGTGTACAGAGCGGGAAAATATGAAAACATGAAAACTCTACAGCTGTAAATGGAAATGACGCGGAAGCGCTAAGGACAATGACGGATGTCGACGATGACGGGGACAAGTTTTTATTTCGCTGCTTGACGCTGGCCTTCTTTCAGGCACCTCGGCGTGACGGAAATGATATTTTCATGGAGGTGACACCAACGATGCACAGTGGGCGAAATGGCCATTCTAGCGGCATTTAATTAATAACAAGCGTATCTTAAAAGATATCGCAATGAAATTTGGAACTTAAGACGATTGCTATTAGCCGAATGTCTCTACCAAATTTCATTCGAATCGGTCAACTATATCATAAGGCAGCTATAGGCCCGATCGGTCAAAAATGTTCACATATGTGATAAAATCGTAAAGATGATTTTATGCATCATAACTCCATAGCATATGATTGTATAACTTATACATATTCAAGATTTATGTTGTTTTTATTTATTTAGATACGAATAATAAAGTTTAAAATATACAAAATATACATAATTATTCGGAATCCGAACTATCGGAACTATTAACTTCTTCTAAGTTGACGTCGAATAACATATCTTTAACCTCTTTATCCAACTCTATATTTTTTTCGGGAAAGCCTGGACGATGATTTGGATAGGTTCGAAATTAATGGGTCAGATGTAAAAAGGAGAGCATGCACTAAATCTTCCATTGTATTTTTTCGTGAAGACTTTCGGGTGTGATTCTGCCTTATGTTCCGAAGATCTTTATTACGTGCCTCCAATGCTTCTTCAGACATCATGCCAATAGGAAGTCCAACGCAATTAATTATATCCGCTCCATGCAATAAAATTTTGTGAACAGAGGATGGCATATAGAACCATGGGTATTTTTCAACAAATATTTCAGCTGTCTGAAAGCAAAAAACCCGATAAACCTCGGTATTGACTTTATAACCACATGCCATAGTTCTGAGTATCACACTAAATCTGTGAATTAGATTTTCGTCGACACCAGTTATTTCGCTTGCTAATGTTGGCTGTTGGAAAAATCTTCTTGCTGTGTTTCCATTATTAGTATTTCCGGCTCCAGGCATTGGTATATCTACCAATAAAGACATTTCTTTCTTTACACGATTTTGTATATGTTTTTTGTGCTGCTCAGCTGCATCCTTATCGGATTTTCGAATCTGCCATTTTTCAAAAGGAAGCCTATAAGCTATGTGAAGGATACATTCAAGGCATCTTATCCACGCATGCAATGTAGAGAGTCCATACTGATACAAATTTGTATCAGGTGTTCGACTTTTCAGGTTGTTCATTACTGAGGGAGTTGCACCGCAAATACCACATGTTTGGTTGGAAGACTCAGCAATGACACTAAATATTTTTCCATCAATCATTGTCATGTGAAACTTATGTTGGATTTGAAAATTTTGGAATGTTGTCGGAAGGATTTCTAATATTTGTTTATTTATTTTATCAACTTCCAATTTCACCAAGGAAGATGTTTCTTTTTCGCACACTATTTTTATTGGTCTACAAAATCTGGTAGAGGAAGGACGTGAATTCTGCCATATTACAATTGGTCCCATGTTTATTTGTAGGGGCACAATACAAATCGTGAACATATATTCATCGGTTTTATTTTCTTCAAACTCGCTGTAGCCTTGACGATACATGGAATGGCCACTACTTCCGTCACAGCCCCATTTGTGCACGGCAGTAATTATATTATCCGTTTCGTTCATTTTTTCGAAAATAATTTTGCTTGATTGCACGATTCTTGAAACGGTGTGGTCAACTAGGCACTGTAAAGGCACTTCTGCTGAAGAGTCAGTAACTTTTACGTCTTTCGGATAGCACATTAGTTTTGCTGTTCTCAACAAATCGTAGCTTGGAAAAACATTTGCATTGTTAGATCTAGTTTTTGCTTGTACTAGCTTATATGAATGTTTTGTGAAGCGCCCATCAATATAAATCGCCAAAGCTTCCTCAGGGCTGAACTTAATAGGAAGTTTGGGATCACTGCTTTCACATTTTATTGTTTTTGCCACGACCTCTTCATCTGAACTAAGCAATGATACAGCTCTAGAAGCATTTCTCTTCCCAGCTTTGTACAAGCTCACACGTGCCGCCAACATGAGTTCTTCATTGGTTGCTTCGTTTGCAAGAGATTTAGCTTTGTTCAATTTAGTTTTCAATGAACAATCTTCAAACTCTTTTGACGGTCTTCCAACTGAACGTACAGCTTTTTCCGGTTCTACATAAAATATGGAGTCAGCATCTAACCACTCCTTGTTATATTTCTCGAAAATTTCCAATGTCCTATGAGCTCTTTTCCATTTTTGCTGCAACTGTGCTACAAATGAGTAAATCCTCTGATTTACTGCTTTATATTCTAGTTGAGAATAATTATTATTATTAAATACATTGGAAAAAACGTATTTCTCAACAGCAGCACACTTTTTGGTAGCGACCTTTTCGCTGTACCAAACAGAAAAAATGTGTCTTCTAGGGATAGACATTTCCTAAAAATGAAATTTTGTTGTTATAGGCAGCTATAGGCAGATCAAATTGAATATTTCGCATTTACAATACCTTAAAGAATGTATATTAAAAGGAATTGAAACTTAAGCGCTTTCAAGTACCAAGGTGCACTCCACCAAAAACTGCAATGCGTGTTCTGAAGCAGAATTTCCCAAAGGTCGATTTGTAGAGCTATTTTAAACTAACACATGTTATCAAACGTCATAAACTAATTTTTAATAAATAGCTTCAAGCTTATAAATAAATAATCCACAAAAAATTTATGTTAAACTTTGTTTGTTTACTTTTTGTAAAAATTTTGGCCAGCTTCACTAAAGCGCGCCAAAAGTCGATTTCATCAGCTGATGCACCATGCTGCTCTGACACCTCACAGCTGCGTGATTAATAAGAGCAAAACAAAACAGCAATTTTTTTTCATATTCACTAAAGCATTGAGAATCGATAACGCACAAAAAATTTAATTGATTCTGCTATGAAATTTTGAATTAAATGGAGCTAGAATGGCCATTTCGCCCACTGTGCGATGACGACATTCAAGTGCTTCAAACGAAAACGGCAGTTTAAAGGCAAACCAAATGGCCGAGCAAAATGGACAAACAACTAACGAATGCTAATCAAGATGGGAAGTGAGAAAAGTGTGTTTACTTCTTAGGGCATGACAAGGAAACAATAAATCAACTTTCACCAATAAAGCTAGAACTGGTCTTTCTCGCTCAACTATAAAAGCAAATGGGATTACTTTCATCTTTCATGGAATGTCAACCAGAAAGTAATTAGACTTGCACATTAAGCACAGTCATTCGTACTTCATATGAACATTTCATTAACATTCTACAAACTATTTGTCTCAGTTCCCTAATCAGCAACTTTGCGGTTCATTCTGTTCATATTTTCGTTTCATAGTTTGTTTTTAATTTGTATGCTCTTCTGTACAGCGCATTATGAGCAATAACCAATAAAAAAAGTGTTACCTTCGAAATAACCAACATCTACCTTTCCAAATTTAAAGTTCAAAAAAATTATTTGTATACTCAAGATTTTAAATTTCTCCAATCTGTTTCCAATGGACTTGCTCGATGGACCAAAACATTAATGATCTAGAATCTTCTTTGCGTCGTGGCCTCAAGTAGTTATTTAAAAAAAATATTTAGTTTAACAGCTCAATGCTTGAAAAAAATTCAATTGACAAGTAATAAATATAATTCAGGCTGCATCAAAAAGTCAATAGAAATAAAACCATTTGCTGCCCATTGAATGTAGCACTAATACCGAAAAAGGACGACCATCTGTGTAGAGTATGTAGTTCCAAGGCATTTTTCCTGTCCTTAAAAAAAAAAGGAAGAGACAACCCGCGTTTCACGTGGCAAATCTTTTGTGCCTGTTGTTTTCCCCGGTCTGCTGCTTTGGCAAACGAAACACGTAAGCCACGCAAATGGTTGGCCAAAGACATTAGAGCGACACATTAAACCATTTTAAAGGAACACTATAACAGTAGGTGGTCCTTTTTTGAGCAATTAAAGGTAAATTATATATATAAATATACCTTTAAATTGGATACGAATTCGAGCTGGTCACTTTTGAATTAATTTTTGTTTATTCCCAACGATTCCAAAAGCCAATTTCTTTAGTTTTCCGCATTGGAACAGTCACATAAAAATGTATTGACTCTATTTATTTTTTTCACTATTTTGTACATCCATATTTTACGACAATCTAAATGGGGTTTCCCAAAAAATATTCAATTGCGATGCAAGAAATGCTCAAAGCTGTCAATCATTGTCACGGATTTTTATTTGTTCCGTGTGTCATATGGCGAATGAATGATTGCTCAGCAGGTAGAATGTTTGAATTGGTACAATCAAAGACAATATTAGTGTAACGCCCATGCCAGGGCTGGCCAGCGGCCCGCCCGTTGCGCCACCAGCCCCCTTGGATACAGCATCGGGCCCGAGTGGTTCTTGCCGCGAGCCGACCGGCGCGCGACGACGAGTGCCGCGTTTTTACAGCGCGCGATAACCCACTTTATAGTGTAGTTATTTACGCTACCACCCAAAACGTTATATTGTATATATACCCCCAACGATAATTTATTTTAAGTGGTACATTGATAAGGGAAAAACAATTTACAGACCATGAACCATTGGTATCAGGATGGGCGCCAACGCGGTACATATTTGTTCCAACCATAAAAAGGTTTCCGCCGAAAATCACACGCACACATACGCACTGCGTCGTGTGTTTACACAGGCGGCTTTTGACGCCATTGGGGGGGGGCGCGCGGCGCTGCTGAGTAGGCGCCGCACTAACAATGCTTGGTACAATAGATATAAATAATGAAAGGAACTAACTTTTATTTCCTGAGTAAGAGCGCTCTAATAAAAAAGCATTTTTTAGCAGTTTTTCCACCGGCGAAAATCCAATTTAGTCTCTGTCGTTTATCAATTTTGTGTACCACCAAAGGAAAACGTGTGAAAAATATACAACTCAGAGTTCAGGGATACACAAAAGTCAAGCGATATAATTTAATGGCAGTTTTTTCGGGTAAAATATTTATTCAAAACCCAAAAACTCATATGGAGAACGCTTTTAGTTTTACGTTAGTATGGCCTAACTTTTGTATCTTTGTGACCCCATGGGGATATGAGAGCGAATCCATGCAATTGAGTGATGGACATTTGATGGAAGGGCCGCATCACGTACACAATGGATGGGTCAAATATATATATTGAACCCCTAGGTCAACCAGGCTTTGATTTATTTGGTAAATGGCCCTTTGATTACGTTTAATGGCATGGAATGACACAGGCTTTCAACGCAAATACCACAAATTGTTAAATGATAAGTTACCAAAGAGCAGAAAAGAATCAATATATGGTGCACAATTAAACAGCAAAACTACGTAATATTTGTAGATATTTCAGCCTCTGGAGCAGGCAGAGCACCAGTTGCTCATGCTGCAGGCCTTATTATAATATGTTCAGGCCGTCGAGTGTGCCCTCGCAGTAGATAGTCACAAATTTAAAAAATTGAATTTATAACCATTTTAATTTAATTACTTATCCCATAGCTATCAAATTTTCCATCACATTTGGCGTCTTTGCGAGTAATTAACTTTCTTTTATACCCACATGACTAACAAATTTCGGGAACCTTCATCAAGGGCTGCTTCTGTGGTAGCCAACAAGATGTGCTATCTTTTCGTTCTACCTCCCAGAGGCGCCATTAGGGTTTTTTCCTATCATATATGCACATATATAACTGGTATGCAGCTTGAATGCTCTGTGCAGTTGTCACACAAAAAGTTTATAGAATTTAATATGACGTGGGTGACTTGTGAATTTAATCCTTAAATTGAGCAGTGAAAAAAGACTTGGATATCTTAGACATGTAGAAAGTGTATATGAATATGAATTTATACTTCACTCCACTCAATTTTCATGTCACAATTGCTCCAGCGATTAATTTTTGTTGCCTTCTTTGATTAGGCAGAGAACTGAACGCATGTCCAACATTTACATGAGGCATTTACACTTATTCACATGATATTGGGTGACGCCTGTTTGTGGTTATGTGCCCCACATTTGGGTTAACGTGGCGTATGAATAATTGAATATTTTGGTTTTTTGTATTCTCGTTTTTTGGCTGCCGTTTGATCAATTTTATGCACACACAGCGTCCTCCTGCTGCTGAACCAAAACAGTAGTAGCTCCCACACACTTTAAATCAGTGCTCGGCATGGCCCTATCCATTGTGGATAGGAAAAGATTCTTCTGATCAATAACAGTAGTAGCTCCCACACACTTTAAATCAGTGCTCGGCATGGCCCTATCTATTGTAGATAGGAAAAGATTCTGCCACAGCTTCGATTTGAATTGGAAGTGAAAACCTTTTGGTTAAAGGTAAATTTTCTCCGTTCAATGCTCTGCTTTCGAATTCATTTTCCATTTCCCAATTGACAAGCATTTGTAAGGCAGGGAACGGAAACTGCGTTTGTTGGCCCTCAAAAGGAAGCAGTAAATCGAATCGAATTTCAGGATAAATGTAAGCATGCATGTGAAAGCATAATAAATAATAGAGCATAATTAGATATGTTTGATTGCAGACATATTTTCATTCACTGGAAAACCTATGTCTTTATTAGCTGTCACAGAAAGGCGAGTCCTGGCCACACGATTGCGATGATGAGCCGAGACTCTCCTATTCCCCCAGGTGACAGCTAATGTCTGTGAATTGTGAGCTGTGAAGTAGCACTCTCCACTTGCCCCACTTAATGGCGCACCCAAAGCATTCCTTTGGACATTTCATATCGCTTACTCAACGGTCTCTCTGGAAAATCTAGGGAATATGGTCTCGTCTATGGTCCTTTAACAAACTAGCATTAGTGGAACCTTTTACCTTATCATTGGATGTATTTTTGTTGGCTTCTTTGTCTCTTAACAGACTGCGAGATAAACTCTAAATAAACTCATAAACTTGTGAAAAATATATCCCAGCAGATGCGACACATGACAGTCGGAAAAGTACCCTTCAGGAAAGGGCCAAACTTTCTAATTGCAACAATGAGTACTGAATTTTAAACACATATTTCTTCAGTTGCATATATTTCACTTGCAACTATTTGCTAAATTATATTTACCGTAGTTTGTCTTGTTAGGTGTACAGAAATGAATACGAAATAATTTTCATTAAAAAAGTAAGAGTAATCGAAGTTATAGATTGATTTGCATTACTGTCAAAAGTAAATATACTTGTTAATGTATGCTGAATGATTAAGTAACTTATAACATCAACCTATATTTCCCTTTGTGAATTGTTGCCTCTTGCATGCGTTTATAAAATTCACTGTATTTGAAAACTATATGAACTATATGATATATGTAAGTGTAATTTCTTTTTACAATAATCTGCTTATTTAAATTTATCCTAATCTTCACTCCTCAAATTCAAGTAAAAAAAAATAAAAAATTCGTTTGCATTTTATTTAATAAAAAAAAGACCGCACATTTTTCCAATAAATGCATCCAAATGGCTGATATAAAATGTTTTTATTGACTTGAAATGATTTTCCGGAAGCTTGGTTGAAGACAGGATGTCATAAAAATTGACTATTTCTTACTTATTGGATTGAATTTGGAAAATTAAATCATATAAATGCAAATTAACCTTTCTATAGCCATAAAAATAGAATAATCTCTTTCACATAAAATGAGGAGTTTCATTCCGGAGTACGTGTATATTTAAAATGTGGGGGAATATATAAAAAAAAGGAAATGGTATGTAATTTTAATATAAAGCTGTTATTCTAAGGTATTTATCATCTTCATTAACTGCAGGGCAGCTTAATTCCG